AAAACATTAAGTTTTATTATCATTAGAATTTGAAATCTACATCGCTCTAATGATGCATCAAAATCACAGACAGGATAGAGATGTCAGAAAAGTGAGTTTAGTTGGACTCAGCCCCCTTTTCCATTGCAGACCACCAGCCCACATTCCCCCCTGGGGGGCAAAATACTTAACTGCATCTGTTACACTATTCATCCGTTGAGGGTTTCAGGGGCGAGGCTAAGCTCTTCTCCAGGAGCTGTTACATGAAATAAACCAAAAACTAAACTCAACAGATGGTGATGGGATTTCACCTCCTTCACTTCCGGCAGAAGAGCTCCAAGTCTCACACCTTACAGTGGCTGAAATCCATATATATGAAAGCAATGTGAGAAGACTTGTTTGTGGTGTTAAACCAAAGAGACTTAGTACCTGTATCTGCAGCTTGCTTCATTTTAAATCAAGTTGAGGCTAATTTTTGTAGCTGTCTGACCAAAAACAATAACGTCTGATTCTCTGTCTTTGTAACTTTTGCTTATTTGTGGTCATTTTTGGCTTCAACATGCAGCTGCATTTGGCAGAGGGGATTAAGAAAATATTGATGTGTTTGCTGACCAAAACCATGACTAAAGATGTTTTTTCATTGACCTTTTGTAACAGCTTGAATTAAAAAAAATGTACTTTAAAACTAAAATTGAATGACTCAATGTCATATTTGGAACTTTTCACACTGCCCTCTAGTGGCAAAACACTTCTACTCCATGTTTAAATTACAAAAACAGATGCTGTTAATTTATATTTATCCATTTGTAGGGCACTATTACCTAATAGTTGACATTTAAGTGGGCCGCGGTGGACTAGTGGGTAGTTTGCGCGCCCCATGTACAGAGGCTTCAGTCCTCAAAGCGGCAGCCCAAATAAAATGTTTTTAATGACATTCAAACAGATGTCTACCTTTAAATGCATTTGTGGTCATCCTGCATATATTATTCATATACACAAGTCAAGGTTGATTTGGGTCAAGATGGTCATTTACATTTGTTTCATGTAGGTCAGTGGTTCTCAAACTTTTTAGACTGCATACCACCTCCGAAAATATTTGGCTCTCCAAGTACCACCATTATGGTAGATGTTAAAATACACTGTAGGCCTATTTCTACACACATTTTACGCAGGAGGTTATTTATTATTGACTGTTGGCAGCCACACTATAGGACTACTAAGGGCTAGCGCTAGAACTGGCACTTAATCTCCAAACAACACTGACATTGGCCCAAATCCAAAAAAAAGTGCAGCACAATAAAAATGTAAACTTTATACCAACAACCTGTTTGAGAATATTTAATCTCCAGTGTTTCCCACACAAACACGATACCTGGGCCCAAGTATATATCCCACCTATTCTTGTTTATTGATTCATTAATTCATAAAATTGCTACGTGCCTGAGAGAGCGAGAGGGAGCGGGGGAGAGAGAGAGCGTGCAGGCGCGCACTCTGCATGCTCCGTGCAATCAGAGCTGCTGTATTATAAGTCTCTGCGTTCAACATGGCAAAACTGCCTTTTTAAAAAAAAAAAAAAGAAATCCCTCTCGACTCCTGAGGAGCGTTAACACTAGAACCGCCAAGACCGTGTGACGGACGGTTTGGGTTTTTATAATACAAAAAACTACGAGCCTCTCATCCTATGACTCTTTTTAAATATGTGTCCTGTATGTTTTCTGAGGCCTATGTGTAACTAAAATAAAACACACAAGATTTCTGAGCATTTATACCTCTAACCGCCGCCGCCTTCATATTGACGGCAGTTTAAAATGATACATTTCCCTGGATTGATTTCGCACGTCATTTTAATTTTTATTAGTTATTGTTTCTATTTATAGACTTCATATATATGTGCAGGAATTTAACAAAGAGCGACAGATAGATAGATAGAGACCATAGACAGACAGATACATGCTCATTCTTGAGCCGGCAAAGGAACAGAGAGAGGAACACCTGCGTGTCTGACGTTGGTGCTCACAGAGCCACAGCATCCACAAGAGCTGAGAAGGAGGCAGTGTCAGACAAACACGCACTGCAAGAAAAATATGACCATTGTCTCCTGCAAGGGGTGCAGGCGCCCTGTGAAGGGGAAGTGCACCGTGAAGGTTGAACACTTTTGCTGCAGGTATGTGCCTTACGCGCTGTCCAAGGTGCCGATCGTTCATTTGTTCATCTGTTTGTTTGTTCGCCGCTGCATCTGTTATGGATTTCTGCAGTTCATTTTCTAGGCTATATAGTTTGTCATGCCCATAGATAGCCGTGTTTTTGTTGTTGTTGTTTTTGGCGTGCGTGTGTTGATCAATGATTTCCTCTATGTCTGGGAAACAAACGCAGTTGCAGAGAGGAGGAGGAGCATCTGTGTTTATCTCTTTTTTTTTGCAGTGTTTTTATTAAAATGCATAGCCTAATATATCCAACAATATCATAGACTAAAAGTTATGTATGTTTCATTTTTGTAGAATGTCTTTTAGCAACGGGAGACGTGGAGCAGCAGTAAAGAAAAACGGCGCACTAAAAAAGCCGACAGATATTGTAAATTGACATGCGACATTTAAAAGGTTTACAAATCCTGCCTTATGCTGATAGTCTATTTGGTTTGTAGATAAAAGTAAGTTGTATTTAACTTCATCAAAAACAAATGCATTATTTGTGTGCTTCTGAGGACAAACAATTTTTAAAGTTGTTTGTTGCAAAAAACTAGATTAATTTAGAGGGGAAAACACATTTGATATAAATACAACTCAATAGATACAAGACAGATAAGATAAGAGTATGTCAAAAAAAATGTTGTTTTATGCTGAACAGGTTTTTTTTTTATATTGTGGAGATTTCTTTGCGTACCACCACAGGGAACCCGCCTACCATAGTTTGAGAACTGCTGATGTAGGTCATTCAACAGCCTCTCAACATTTTCCACCCTCAGCTTGTTTGTTCGTTGATCCTTACTTTTATGAAGCTGTATTTAAACATCATTGACCCTAAAGAACAAACACATGCAAAGACTCATCCACTGATGATGATTACACATGGGGGGGGGTTTCAATAGGACCCAATCAAAAGCTGTGTTATCTCAAATGATGAAAAACAAACATGTTGTCTACAATCATATGTGGGGCACACTGCTGACTGGTTAAATAAAGGAGATGTAAAAGAGATCAGGAGAACACGTGTGATGAGTTGCTGCTGTGACACTTGAACCCTTCTGACGTCATAGAGTTTCTCTATGGTGGGTGACATCAGAAATGTCTCACATTGGACTTTTATGAACGGTTAAAGAGCAGTGGGTTCAGTTGTAGAGGCTATAATGAGTAGTGAGTTCAGGGCAGGAGGACAAACTGATTGAATGCTCAGTATGTCATATAATGTGTTTCATAACACCAAAAGAAACCTAATCTATCACCTTGTAGTGGTTTATTTATATTTAACTAAATGTCTCTGTCCAACACTTAAACGTACAATATGTAGATTCTGCCGCCAGGGGGCTCTCAATCAATACCACAAAAACAAAAGATCACATAGAGGCCAGCGGGGAATTATGGGAGTTCTCTCTGCTTTTTTTTTTATTTCATCACCTTTAAAAGTCTCCCCTCTCTTTTTAAAACCATCAACATTTTGCCTTCAACAGAGACCATCTGCAGCCCGTACTAACCTCCTGTTCTACAAACAAAAGCATTTAAACCTAATCTAAACCGATAATCATAATGTCACACTTCAGTTGCAGACTTTGAAGGACCTCGATTGAAAAACATTCAACTTGATTAGAAGGTCTAGGAGATGAGTCTTTGCAGGATTGTTCAGAAAGATTTAGGAAATAAAATGTTCATGTCCCTGAGTGGCTTTGAGGCATGACATAGCACATAATAGTACTTTTTTTTTTTTAGATTCTCAAGTTGTCTGTTAAAGCCATCAGCAGTTTCACTTCGCCTCACAGAAATACATCACCTGAATTGAGAATCCAGCAGGAAAGTGTGGGTTGTATTTTTCTTTCTCTTCTCCAGATAGTCTGTGTGGAATCTTTGGACAGATTGTTAAACGAACTGGATTCCTGAAGGACTGTAGGTGAAATAGAAGAACAATACAAGACCATGAATGAGCGAGTGTCTGATGAAGTGTTATGATTTAATACATGGCCTACGCTCTGATTGCTGTCTGGCCTGGATTTTCAATTTCATATATCTACTCTGTAACAGCTGTGAGGGCAGACAGCAGAGGGTCATCATGTTTGCTCTGGTTGACAGATTCAAACTGTGTCCACAAACATGTGTTTATGTTTTGTTCGGCTGTCATAGTTGGTTGCACTCTAGCACGTCAAATGGTGAGATTAAATGTCTAATTTTCTTGTCATCGCATTGCACATAACGTGAAGCCATTTTATCCATCATGTATGAGAGAACAAGTCAGGAACTTCATGCTCTGAGGACACTGAGATAGCAGGTCTAAATTGCAGTTTAAATGTCAGCCTCAGATTTTTTTCAAGCTGATTTTAAAACAACACTTACTGCCTACTTGTGCATGGAAGTTTTTGGTCCGTACTAGCCTCACAACAACAAACAAAAAAATCATAATTAGTATCAATGTGACAGATGGGAGAAAAAATATTTCTGTGACAAAATAATTTCACAAAGTCAAGCTAAGTAGCAGCTTCCACTCTCTAAGATTGACAAACCAAAGATTTGTATCCAAACTTAAATTATTTTTAGCAAGGCAATTCCCTAAAGTGGAATTTCTTTTTTTTACAGTACATAAACAAAAAAACAAAGAAAAAAGAAGTAAATATTGACATAAAAGTAGGCATGATGCATCAACAAAATGTTATGGGTAAAACCTTGCCAGAAAAAGCAACACATTTGGGTTACATTTTTCGATGCAGCACTTCTTCAAATCTGCTCATCTTACGACATTACTTATTTGTTCAAAGTAAAGTAAAAGTGTTATCCAACCTCTGTGTGTGACCCCCATCTCTTTCTCTGTCCCCCTTACAGGAGCAGTGTGTCTTCGTGATCGGCTAACGTCTCGGTTCTGTCAGACTCTCCGCTGGCTCGGCCGTTGTCACTTGCCCAATGTAAGAGCACAGTGCTGCAAATCCTGCAGCCAGCGTTCCCGCTCCGTCAGTGCGTCTCGCCGCTGAGGTGCAACAAAGTGACCGTTCACAGGTCTCACCAACAGAAACACGGGTTCCAAATGAGCAATGCGAGGCTGTTTTCCTCACCACTACAGTTTAATAAAAAGGGATTATACCCACTACAAAACTTTGCATGTTTGTCCTGGTGAAACTGTAATATAAGGCTGACATGAGTTGTAAATGTTAAAAAAGCATAACCTCTTTCAAAACCATGAAGATGTTTATAATTTTGCTCTTTTTATCTTATACAGTTTGACCAGGAGGACTTTTATATTTCAAGATGTCCTTGTAATAGAAACAATGCTACGTTCGGGGTCCCTTGTCAATGTATAGCTTAATAAGGTATTATTACACGTGTAGATAAACCACTTATAAACCTCATGGTTGGTACAATGCTTTCATTTTTATGTCAGCAGCAGAATAAGACATTTTAAAAATACAGGAAAAACAATCTGATTGCGGTTTTACAGATGATGTGGTACAAGTCAAATGTGACATTTATGAGTATTTGACTCTTTGCTAAGCCCGTCTTAGCCACTTTAGCTAAGCCTGTCCCTTTTTGATCTGGACACAGTTTAGTTTACACTGTGTTTTAAGATCAATACTTATTCATATTTTTTTAAATAGTGGCTGTTTTTAAACAAAATTAGTTCAGAGCAGCAGGCTGCAATTACCTTTATCCAATGTAGCTAACTAGCTAAGCTAGCATTAGCTCCATGAGCTGATACAAGTATCCCAGGTTCGCCTTTAATATTTCTGGCTTTTGCCTGTGAAGGAGGTCTTTAAAAAGTACTTGGCTAAATATTGTGCGTATTAACACTGAGGCTAGAGCTTGCAGCTAAAGCTAATGCTAACAGGCCATCCTTTTATGTTAATTATTCTGTTGATATGGAAAACAAACGTTGTGATATTACAGTGGAAAGCTAGGAAGACCCAGTTTAAAAGACACAATAAGAAACCTGTGAGATCTGACTGTGTTTACTTTAAAAATTATAGTTTGAAAGTTGAGCTTAAATAATAGCTAAACCAATTTGTTTCGCCAAATACAAAAAACATGTATATCATGGGGTTACTAGATCATCCGGAATCGTAATAGACAATAGTGTAATAACTTCAATGATGGGCTTACTTCTATGTGATGCTGGGTTACTGTAGGTTGCTGCAGTTAGATAGGCATGCTAAAGTTACATTACAGCAGATTTTGGTTTCATAAAGGTGGGGAAAAGTAAAACCATACACACTTCTTACATGCTGAGAAATGTTGTTGTAACACATTAAATGTGGAGAAATCCACAGCTAGACCAGCCTGAGTTTCCTGCTAAGGAAAGCCAAGCTGTGATTGGACTGAAACACCTCAGGGGCCGGGTTAAGCAAGTGGTCTGTTGCAAAGTTTAACGTCTGCAGCTTGTCAAAAGCTTTTGGAAGTAGTTGTCTCAATATTGCTCTGTCATGATGTGTCACTCTTTGACTTTACTACACATGTTTTTTTAAGCCACAGAGTAATGTGTGTATATGCTCAACATGGAGCTGCAGGAAAGTACTTGGTGCTACAAGCCTCACAGGCTCCAAACTTTTCAGGTCAGGGATTGGCAGGCCCAGTGCCTTATCTACTTGAATATTGGGTAATTTGATGTCTTTGTTTTATTTTAACCACTTTATTTGGAACGTTGAGTTAAATTCAACATAGAATATTTTTTGTGAAATTATTCAAAAAGAGGGACATTTTGAAAAATATGCAAAAACACATTAGGCTTTGTATGGTGTATTAAGGAATGAAGTATTTGTTGTATTTTATACTTTCGCAACTGGAGTTTTTAGTTGCTGTAATCTTGCTTTGTGATAAACTGAACTCTTACTGACGCGTCATGCTTTATTTTGAAAAATCAATGTCTGTCAATGTCAATTTACTATTACTGTAATAAGTGCTGTGATAAGACTTACAGTACAGTCAAAAGAAGCTCCCATGAAAAGACATTTTGAATCCTCTCTGCAGCTTTCAAAAAGCTTTTCTTGGTTCCAGGAATGGATCATTATCACTCGGCATATAACCAACCTTTTTTTTGGTTACTTTATTGCAGGTATTGACATTACACATCATCTGATTTCATCACTCATGTTCATCCTGCCTTGTTAATAGATTTTTATGAAAGAGATCCTACTGTACTTTCTTCATTTAAATTAATTTACATTTTGCTTTTTCACTACTTCTATTTTCTTGACCCATTTACTCTAATTTCTTCTGAATTCCTTTTCTCTGTCGCTCAACCTATAAGTGTTTATCTCCATTTCATTAAGTGCTTCAACTGTGAACTTCCACGCATTAATAGATGATGATGTAGTGTCCATGCTGTTCTGTGTGATTTGCTTTAATGCAGCTATACATCATATGTATCCTCTTCCTTCTCTATTTTTGATTGACGGATACATAATATAATAATATGACTAACTTCTTTAAGTTTCCTTAGCTACATACAAGCTGTATGTGTGACCTTTGCACTCTGCACTCACATTGACGATTTGAACACATTGGATGTTTTCGAAACCACCTACTACATACTACTATCTAAATCAGTATGCATTAGATAAACTGCATACTGCATACTGAGTTCAACAGTAGTATGTAGTATGACTGCCAGTTGTCGGTTATTTTGCAGTATGCTTGGCGCGGTTATACTGGTATAAATCAGAAAAAGGCCCTAATATCTACTACCTGCAGATGTCCTTCTGCTCACAGAAGAAGAAAATAAGTGTCTTTCCATATGAGAGGTTGAGAGAGGCCATGATTAAAATTGGTATTGTTAAATAAATTATCTCAAGGTAATTATTTTGTTATTCTACAACCATAATTTATTTTCTCATAATAGTGGGCGAATTTATAATAAGAAAACAAAAATCCAATTATTCAGAAATAGCTTTGTTATTGTGATATGTTTTGTATTGTGGGGTCTCCAGTTAATTTGTAGCTGGACTGAACTTCTCCTACAGCTGGAACGAGTGCACAACAGATTTCATTTTTGATCCAGCAGAAAGTGGTTGCACAGCTTGGGATTTCAGATGTTGCTTTCAGGCAAAGATTTGATCATATTAGGGGGGGAAAAAACAGTTACACCATGCCAGTGTATTTAAAGAACTGCTGCGGGATGACAGATATAAAAGCACTAATTGCTTTTGCTCCGCGGTTAGAGGACAAGGAAATATGATGTGACTGAATGATGAGGTCACAGATTGAGCTGAGCTGTCATGCTAACTCTTCTCCATTAGCAAGCAAGAAAGACTGAGGCTAAATTAAGGTGCCAGACAAAGAGTCTGCATACAAGCTGCATGGGCAACAGCAGCATTACACGGGTGAGTTTGGAAAATGTCTCACTAATGAACTCCCGGGGGAAAGGGGGACCTTTTGAAGGAGAATCTGAGACCAGCTTACACACAATCAGTGTGCCAGTCCTAGCCGGCAGGGCTATAATTGATTGCTATTGCACGGTAATTGGATGATGCATTCACTTTTAATTAATTAACTTATTCCCACACAGAAAGTCTGATGATTTTTGACAGAAGGGATTATGCACACTTTGAAATATAACTAAGATGAGGGGGGGGACAGGAGGTCTGAGAGTATGGGTGGGAGTGTGCTGGTGGATGAGGAGCCAGGTTATGGAGGGCTTTGTAGCGAATTATGGAAACTGATTCAATCATTCAATCAATCTTTTTATTTTTTGCGTCAACTCATAACAAGTGTTATCTAGTAATAAGAGCAGGTAAAAAGACCATACTCATTGTTATGCTACAAAAACCCGACTTGATCCATCATGAGCACTTTAGCAAAGCAGCAAAAGTTACATTTTTTCATTTAAAGATTCAAGCACAATATCAAGAGTCTTTTTATTAGCCGATTCTATGATAATAATACTGAAATACACTAGATTGGGTTTCTGAAATAGATTAAGGTTGTTGCTGATATCTTCACAGGGATGCATTATTTCAATCTCTACACAAACAAACCCCCATTGAAAATGTTATCTAAATGAACTGTTCATAAACCACAAAAAAAATGACATATTGATAAAGTGTTGCTCATTTCTTTATCAGTGATGATATATGTTGTGTGTTATACATTTCTTTCTCATTTATGTGTCATCACATGATATTTATATACTGTGCTTTTTACTTTGGAACTAAACTTGTAAATCTTGCAAAATGTAAGGCGCCTATGTAGTTCAATTTGAACAGATGTGAAAATACATGAAAATTGTGAATGCTTTGTCTCTCATTATACTAAAAAGATATGGTTGAGGGATTTGAAAAGGGTGTTAAAAAATGTGATTTCTAGTCAGGTAATAAAATTAATAAAACTCCATGCTCACAGTTTAGGACAGATTCAACTAAATACTGATGAGTGGAAAGTTGAGAGCGCCATACGAAGAAGCAGCATGAAGGTTTTTTTTTTATAGTTCAACAGATGAGAAGTCCATGCATTAAAGATCAAACAGGATATTCTATCTAAATAATGCATTATGGTGGATGTTCAGGCTTTCACATAAGGTGCTCAACCATACCATATAGTGTTTGTTTTATTATAGTTTAATAGCAGTGCGTCACAGTTTTTCTATCATGTGTGTGCTCAGTGTATTTCAGGTCAGTTCTCCATCATTGCAGCTGTTTTTATATCCATGAGTTTCAGTAATCAACAGGTGGCAGCGTCACCATCTGCGTGAACTCCTCGTACTTGATAACCCCGTTTGACTTGATGTGTGCCTCTTTGAAGAGCTCATCCACTAGACAACAAAAAAAGCAGAGAAAATACATTTTACAGTGAAGTGTCTTAAATATCTAGGACAGAGATATTATACTGTTCTTTAAGTTGTATACTGCACACATCTGGAAAGAATTTGTATCTGATAAGAGGAGTCCCCTTCCAGTTGACTGTTTGCCCAGAGGTGTTGTTGGCAGGATGCGTGATGACTTGCCAGGGAATGCCTAAATCTAAGATAAGGATCTTCCACAGTGGAAGGTAAACAAGGCCAGAGAGATACCCAAGGACAGAAAACAGATGTCCTCAAGTGTCCTGTGACATTATGTATAAATAGCACTCTCAATGTATGTTCGAGAGAGATCATTATTGGCTTCTTGACTCTCCTGGGCAGACGTGTTCAGTGATTCTGCAACTTGTTAATAAATCATTTTGTTGAAAAGCAAGTCAGTCTCAACGGCGAATTTCTTCACCATCGAACATATCATCAACAACGGAAAGCCACATCAACAGTGAACTTGACGAGGAAGTGTGCTGCCTGAAAAAGCATTCATCTCCTTTGACTATTTGGAACTGCAGTCTGGCACAGTTTGGGGTTAGCTGGTCCCTGCCCGTGGGAGGCTTGACTGTCAAAACCTTCACAATGGAGTGTGAGCGCAGCAAATGTGAGAGTTTCTAAAGTTAAGAGCTGAGCGGCTTCAGAGCACTTTTGTCAACTCTTTTAGTACAGCAATGTCAAAATCAGCTTCAGTAATTCTTAATCCAACCTCTTCATGGAAGTCTCCCTCCTGGGAAAAACCCAAGCTCCTTTCAAATATGAATATGTCACATTTAAATGGACTAGACTGACGGTTGAATTATAGCTTTATGTTTATGTGACGCCATTTACTGTATTCATGGCTAAGCTCAGCTTTAGTAAAAAAAATAAATAAATATATATATATAAAAAAACAACCCCAGAAATCTTAGTGGATATCAGTCACCCAGCAGGACGTCTTCAAAGAAACTGTCTTTTGTCGTCAATGTCATCCAAAACTATTTTGATGTTTTGGCATTACTTTAATCCCTGCACATTAAATCTTTGTGAATGATGATGTCAGACAAGTACAGAATCAACTGCATCTTAAATATTGCTGTAACTGCTGTAGCAGATTAATATGGATCCACATCAGTGGAAGGGGGGGCATACTGGTTGTTTACCACATGCCTCAGGAAGACAACATTTAATACCAGTCTCAAATTATATAAATGGTTGTGTTTGTCCCGACCTGAATACGACTGGAACAGAAATCTGTCCAACCAGGAGGGAGAACAGATGTATCCAACGGAGCAACTTAAACATTAGCTTGCAGTTTGTTAGCAGTGAATTCTTATTTTTAAGATATTCAGATGTGTTTGAGTTGACCAAAGTCTTGCAGCACTTTGATTCTGTATCAAGGGAGCTGGATATTAAGGGATATCCAGCTCCCTGGAATTAAGGGAAGCAGCTGGTCATTCCAAATGTGATTCTGTGCTGAATTATAAAGTCAGACTCTCAGCAGTATTGAGCTACAGAGGATTGCTGTGGGGGCTCACAGAGTCATGAGAGTTTCTCAGGTTGAGGTTGTGTGGTGGTTTTTTATTTTACCTTCTTTGTTTGTGAGTTTCTCTCCTAGCATGGTGAGCTTGGCCCGCAGCTCGGACGCCTGGATGTATCCTTTCTTCTGCTTATCTGTCATCCTCAAGGCCTCCAGGATTTCTGCTTTGGGGTCTTCCTGTTGCATCTGTCTGTGCATCATTGTCAGGAAGGTAGAGAAGTCCAGCTCTCCTTTCTTTTCTAAAAGGTGAAGTGGCACAATCAGTCATAAATACACCAATTGACATAACTGGATTAAACAAGTGTAAAAAAAAATACAATAGAACTTCTTATTGCTTTTCCCTTTTTGATTTAAATATTTTTTTGTGTAATTTGTCAGTATACATTTGGAGGGTGTTGATCGTATGTTGCTAACATTATAAAGCTATGAGACACGTTTGACTACAACCTATATGAAGAACACATCAGAATGTATTATTTTTTAACACGCAAAACTACAGTTCTCTATTATTGTTATTATAGCACTTTATATTTCGCTTATCTTTTTTTTCAAGCGCCTTCAAGTTGATATCATTGATCTTTTTCTATGTAAGTCCTTTGACAGTAGAAAGACTGCCGATATGTGATTTTTGGGGTCGATATAGATGTTGGGGAGAGAAAAAAAATGTGATGCCGATATCTTTCTAAGATCTATATTCGATCTGTAGAGATACATTGATAAAGATATGAACAATTATTGCGTTGCTCCCTCAAATGCAGTTATCAAACACTTACTGGAAAATATATATCATGAAGACATCGCATGCATCACCGCTTGAAACTTTGGAGGGTTGATAATGCTTTTTGTAATACATATAGGACACTCAGCTGGTGACAGCCAGGAAAACAAGCTAGTGCAATACATTGATGCTCAAATGAAATTATATTTGATTGGTGAATAGATCTAGTAATATTTGCGGTATTAATCGGTCGGGCTCTACTTTATTCTTCTGATGTGTTCATTGTTTTTGCACCAATAAAGAAGACTGATTCCATTGTTTGTAAAACAAAAACCTACATGGCAACATAATTTATTCTAAAGATTTGACCCAATCCTAATGTTCTTAGTCCTCAAAACAAAATCTAAATAACAATCACACATTGACAAACTCCAGCTCCTGATCCAGCATGAAGAGTTTCTGAATCTTTGTCTGTGCTGCACAGCAATGTGTTAAAAAAACTGCCTGAACAGTTTTACCCAAAGACTTTCAGTGCAACTTATCTTATGACTTCTTTAACTACCGTCGTCCTGAACATGTTTTTCTTAATCTTAAAATGCTCAAATGAGATCGACTTTAAGTTGTATGTTACCAATTTTGTGAACTTGCAGATGTCTTTCGATTTCACCAAACGTGGGGCTTGTACCCAGACAGCGCATAACTGTGATCAGATCTTTGGCATCAATCTTTCCCTTTTGCTTCTTGTCGTAAAGGGAGAAGCACTCCTTGAACTCTAAAAGCAAAAAATGACAATTATTGTTTATAATCAGCAAAGATCATTCCGGTATATAACTCAGGAAACAAAGAATTGTAAATAAAGTTTATAATTTACACACAAAAAATGTACTGGCATTACTCCAGAGGAATAAATGAGACTAAACAAAATCAGACTTTAACAACCTTGTATTTATTACTGAAACATACACTTACAGCTCATGTGGAAATATAAGAAATATGTTTCATACACAGAGGCCCAAGTCATTTGTTTGAAAGGGAACCAACATGCAGTGCTGTGGCGTACTCTTACCGTTGATTTGAGCTGGTGTGAAGAATTTCGCCTGCAGGGTGGTAACAGAAAGACGTCACATGGAAGATAAGTACATAAAAAAATTGCAGTTATCAAAGAAAATACATGAACATGCCTCAACAATGAGGCTTTCTTGCTCTTACCATTGTCGTAGTTGCTTTGTTTCGTTCCAGGAAGGAGACTATTTTCTCTCTCAGCAACGTCACCTGTTCCTCCACCCCTGTTTAAAGTCCACCACCTGTAATCCTCAGCGTAATTTAATATGTGTTGCTATGGTTACACAGATACCAGATCCTCAGTGCTGCATTGTCCTTTTCCTTTTCTGCTCCTCAAGTAAAAGGACGGGGCCGATTATCTCCAGTCTATCACAGTATGATACAGTGACTTGTAATAAAAAATAAATAGTTTGTTATTTATGCAGAAAGTTAAATTGCGAAAGTAATAACAGTAATAATCTGTGTAATAACCAGGAAGTAGAAGGTTATTTCAACGTTTTTATTCAGTTTAAATGGAACGCATAAAAAAATCATCAGTATTTCATCAGCAACAATGTCATTTTAAACAAAGAACAATACTGTTCAAAACAGTAACCATGACAACTTCACATTAAGAACAATAACTTTAAAAGGTCCCATATTATAACATGAAAAATACTCTTCCCCATGTTTTTCGAACACTCCAATGTGTCCATAGTCTCTCTACAGACCCCCCAATTATGAGAAAAGTAAATCCTCTCTGTCTTTTGCCTGCTCCACTTTTCAGAAAATGTAAATATATATGTATGAAATAAAGGGGTTTAAAGGCATGAGAAAATACAGGATCAGAAAGGACTTCTTAAAGATTTATTTTAGGGCTTTTTGTGCCTTTAATTGAGAGATAGGTTAGTGGATAGAGTCAGAAATCAGGGAGAGAGAGTAGGGAATGACAGGCTGGATTTGAACCTGGGCCGCCTGCTTGGAAGACCATAGCCTCCATACAAGGGGCGCGCACTAACCACTGCGCCACCAGCGCCCCGGAGAGGATTTTAACAAGATACTTCACAGACATGTTTTCGGGATCGGCACTTATTCAAACTTGAAAAGGAGGATAATATGTGACCTTTTATCAAACATACAGTGTATTAGTTCAGTTCTGCTTTCATTCAAAATGTGTTTCTCAAAAGTCTCTGCATGTTTCCTCGACATTCTGCATGAAGTAAAAGTAAAGTAAAAGCATCAGTGAAGTAGACTGCAAAGGTTTACAATACATAAACACGTCACGTCAGACGAGCAGCACTGAAGGAACTTCTTTATCTAACAGAACCATGAACACATCAGGAAATGTAATTGTTCACAGTTATCATGTCTTGGTAATAACTACATTTATTTCCCCAATAACTGTTAAAGCGTACACGTTTAGTGCTTTAAAGACGTCCAGAAGTATTCTGGGTTGAAGTCATCCTTTAATCATGTTTTATAGACTTTATTTGAAATAACTGTTGTTTATGTATAACTGCTCAGTCTGGTATGCATCAGACTTCTGACTTTGGATGATCATATCTTCTTTGTGTCTTAATTGAATGTTTTTAATTTTATTTTTATTAATTACTTTTAAAGGTACCCCATAACGTCAATCTTTATTGATGTAATTTAAATTTCTGAATCTCCAGGTTCAACAGTGTTTTCAGATTAAGCGTCAGGAATCACTTTCTTCCTCTTTTGTTTCAATAGGCCAGAAAGAAGCAGGTTTACTATAATTTTATTTAAAATCAACATGTTTCTCTTCTGAGGTTTGAAGGATCGACTTTGTGGCGGTCACTTACTTTTGGCTGGATTCTGAAGTGAGGTAAGATCACTTTCTTATTTTCAGTGAATATACGCACATATCTTCACTTCGAGTTTGGTTATGAAAGATCAACTCTGATTCAGACGACAGCAGAATTTTTTAGCAATCTTAGAATCAGAACGTTTTCGGAAGTGATATGAACAGTGAGAAGGCTGATTGGTTCACACATATAATGCAATCCTGACGATGTCTCCACATTGTCCAGGAAGGATGCAGGTGTGAATGTCTGAGTCCATTCGGCCCTACTTTATCAGACTGACATTTACAATCTCCTACAGTGATGTACATGTCTGAAAGGCAATTCCTGGAAATGTCTCACGCTGGATGTCCTGAAGTTAGAAAATGTGAGGAGTTCATTGCTGAAAGGTGCAAGAGTTTCAGGTCTCATGTCCTAAGATCCAGGTAGCTGCATCAATTCTGCAAAGTCAGACAAACAGGGCAACATTTCAACAAGCGTCACAAAACAAAACTGGTCATGTCTATGTGTATCAATATAGATGTAGAACCCCCCCCCCCCACTAAATAATGCAGCAGAACCTTTGATCAAGAGGTGGTGCACATCGATTTCCATTGACTGTAAGTTATTCCAAGTGTAGCCTCTATGTCAGTCAGAAGGATTGTTCAGGTCATACAAAAGAGGTTCTGTGTCAGGGCTTTGTTTTTTTAAATCTTCCTATAAATGAAATGTATCCAGACCTGTACAGATGTAATTCAGTGGTTCTTCTTGATATGTAAGGTGTAGTAGGACCAGGGTTCTGGCACATAAATCAGTCCAGGGTACTTGTTTCGTAGCACTGGGTCTTCCCACAGATAGACCACCCACAGGCCCACCAGGAGCACAGTGAAGCTGAAGCTGTAGAACAGGAACAGGCCGTTGCTGTCCAGGCCGAGGCCTTTGCGCTTTTGGTGAATCGCCATGACAACCATGGCGAGAAAGGTGAGGAGGAAAAGTTCAGTGATTTGTCCCTCAGTGACCAGGTACCTTAAAGACATGAAAGAAAGTAAGAGATGAACGGAGAGAATCACGAACTGAACAAACTGCTGCATGATTTAGTGAGAAAATACATTCAAAGTTAAACTTCAAATAGAACGTCCTTGCTTTTCAATAAACGCACCTTTGCTATTTTTCTGTCAGCGCTTCTATCCTTGATTCAAAAGTCTGCACAAAGTGAATTTGAAAATAAAAGAGTCTTTTTATCAATATTTTCAGGTTGTATTCACAAAGTACAACTTTCCAGACAATAATTGGATCCTGCCAGAAAACAAGGTTATTTAAATTATTTTTGTCAAAGTTTGATTTTGGTTGTCAAACTTGTTGTTTACTGTCCATCATTTTACAAAAGAGGGAAATGCTCGGTCTAAAATGTTCTCCTCCACAGTCATACCTTATACAGAATTACCAACAACTAGTTAATTTAATGATGGATGTCAGAATGATTTGAGGGAATGTCAAATAGCTTGACAAATTTCATGTAATTGTGTTTATCCTGCCATTATTTTATCTAAAGCTTTGTCTTTAGCTTTTTGTCTTTTTTATGAATTAATTGTTTTTCTCTTCTCTTTACATCAGTTATTGTTGCTCGTGAGGCTTTGCACACAGAATTTAATTAGCTGTCTTTAGCTTACAAAACTAATCAAAACTCAGTAAACATACTTCTTAAACATCTTATGTATTGGACCGGGGGAGAAATCTCTAAAATAATCTCTAAAATAATACCCAAGGCCACTTTTCAATGTTCCTGTTCTGTGTTTCATACAGTCATGCTACCTCAGAGATTGATGCATTCACTTTAAAGATTTTGTGCCCTTAAAAACATTTTTGTACATACAGGGAAACTAAACAGAAGGCTTTCAGATGTAAAAAAGCGACTGACCAATAGTAGAGTGAGCTGGGTCCCAGCAACAGCCAACCAGAGATGGGAATCTTCTTGTGTTTTTCAGCCTTGGTGAAGCAGCCGGTGAAGTAGATGAACAGAATGATGAAGAAAGGGATATACCTAGAACAAAAACAGATCAGTGTTTTCCACAATTAGATGATACCTAGACGGCCAAGGTATATTTTTGGCTTCCAAACTATATTTCTGACAGTTTTTTATTTATTCATAAAATTACTGTGCACACGAGAGAGTGAGAGAGAGAGCACTGATACGTTGCATGATACTGATAATGTCCGGACCTCACGAGCGCACAGATTTGTAAACTGTATGCACAGAAACCCAAAGCAAATCGGTGCACAGTTTACAAAACCATGTCCACACAGTTTGGCGAACGGATTTGCAAACTATGGGTACAGATTTGCAAAAGAGGCTTTTTTCCTGTGCTTCAGAGACTCTGTGCAACACAACTAAATTTCCATTTAACAAAGTTTCACTTGCAACTCACACGAGGGGGCTTCCTGTGGGGAGGCATGTTAATAAGACACAGCAAAACCAAGAGAGAGCAGAGAGAGCAGAGAGAGAGAGAGAGAGAGAGAGAGCGAGCGACAGGTCCACTGTCCGTACGTCTCTCTTGTAAATGCACCGATTGAGGTGCAATGCTCATGTCAAAACTTACGCTTCTCTTGGCTTTGTCTGAATATTTTTCTGCAGCTGCTTCCTGCCGATGCTATCCTGCACTTCTAGTTTAAGATGTTGCTGTGTTAGGCGCTGCATCATCAATACGCCTCCTCATGTGCAGGAATAAGATATGTTACAATACAAAACGATTACGAGTAGTGAACTTTTAGCGTGAAGTTGGGGTGAGCTGATGAGGAAATGCAGGAGGACATATTCAGGAAAGTGTGAAAGTGGGGATGATGAGGTTTACAGTATATCATCCGATCGCTTCATGACTGCTATGATTCCTGTGCACGTAATGATGCTGCTTCATTCGTCTTTTCTTCTTGCCGTTCTTGAAATTTTTAAGAGTCAATGCATGGAAAAAGCTAATGAAAGAAACACAGTGGTGTAAAAGGCCATTCATGGACATGTATTTTCTATGAGTTTTTTTCTTATTCCTTGACTTGATCGCAGATATGTGAAGAGTGTTGAGGTGCAATAGTCAAACCAAATCCACTCCAGGATCACCACAAATCCAACATCACAGAAGTATTCTCCAATTAAAAGTCAAATTTCAATTCAATTTCAATTCAATTTATTTTGTATAGCGTCAACTCATAACAAGTGTTATCTCAAGACACTTTACAAAAAGCAGGTAAAATACCTTACTCTTTGTCTGTTAACATTACAAAAGAGCAGGAAAAAAGACCTTACTCATTGTTATGTTACAAAAAGCAGGTAAAAGACCTTACTTATTGCTATATTGTGTATATGTGTTCAATGCCTGATAAAAAGCAGACGTTTGGGGCGTTATCTGTCAATCGTGCCACCTGGGTGCTATAAAACAAAAAGCCAGGTGTAGT